GAGACGAGGGAATTTTTTACATCTCGTGATGTTAAATTTCATGAGCATGTGTTTCCGTATGTTGAGACTTCAAGGGAGAACTTAGAAGAACTTGAAGCCCATGAGTTTGGTGGAAGTGATGATGAAATAGATATGTGGCAACGTGGAGATTATGTGGGTAATTCGTCAGGATCAGTGAGCTCCGCAACCAGGCTGCGGGAGCAAGTACCTAGCCGCAACAAGGCTGCGGACTGCACTGCCCAGACCTCGACAGAAGCCCCTGAAGAGAGTGCCGCAGCCAGGCCGCGGGAGAAAGACCTCAACCGCAGCCCAGCTGCGGACTGCTCTGTCCAGCAGCGTGCTGCCCAGCAGCGTGAAGAACAGCAGCATACAGGGAGTCCCAAGTCTACTGCTGTACAGCCACACAACAGGAGGGTACGACACCTCCTCGAAAAGAGCAGCAGCAAGGCACTGTTTCTGCTACCGAAACAGTCCAGCACAACTCCCCTACAGAAACCGAAACTTCCCACGATGTGGGTGTGCCTCAGAACTTTCCTCATATGGTTAATTCATCAAGTGACGAAGAGTTAGGAAGGGGAAAAAGGCAAAAATTTGTTTCAACGAAGTTACGGGATTGCGTGACCCACACAATACGGAAAAATAAAGATCCATGTCACTGTCAACACCATCATCCTCTTCAGGTAATCTCTATCCTATCACATATTTTGTTAACTATGATCGGTTTTCCTCGAAACACAGACACTATATTGCAGCTGTCACAGAAGCACAAATACCAAGATCATTCAAAGAAGCGATGAGACATGAGGGTTGGAGAGATGCTATGGCAGCGGAAATTAAAGCTTTGGAAGACCAAGGCACATGGACTCTAGAAACACTTCCTGCAGGGAAGAAAGCACTTGGAAGCAAGTGGGTTTACACTGAGAAGAGAGATGAGGCTGGTAATCTGCTAAGATTAAAAGCAAGACTTGTGGTGTTCGGTAACCATCAGGAAGAAGGGATCGATTACGATGAAACGTTTGCTCCAGTGGCAAAAATGTCTACGGTACGCATTTTTTTAGGAGTTGCAGCGATTAAAAATTGGGAGGTACAACAAATGGATGTGCACAATGCTTTCTTGCACGGTGATTTAGAGGAGGAGATCTATATGAAAGTACCACCGGGTTTTCAAAAAGGCAATTCAGATACAGTCTGTAAGATGAAGAAGTCCTTGTATGGATTGAAGCAAGCTCCTAGATGTTGGTTTGAAAATTGTCCACAGCTTTGAAGAAATATGGATTTAAACAGTCGTATTCCGATTATTCTTTATTCACTCTTTCAAAGGGCGGAATGCAGTTGAGTGTCTTAGTTTATGTGGATGATATGATAATTGCAGGAAATAATACAGTTGCATTGGAGAGTTTTAAAGCATACTTGTGTCAATGTTTTAAAATGAAAGATTTGGGTGCCGTGAAATATTTTCTGGGGCTAGAAGTGGCACGTAGTAAACATGGTTTTTATGTGTGTCAGCGTAAGTATGCTTTGGATATTATTTCTGAGACGGGGTTACTAGGAGCAAAGCCGGCAGACATTCCAATGGTGCAAAATCATAAACTTGCTTTAGCAGAGGGGAAGGAGCACGCAGATGGTGAACAATATAGACGGTTGATTGGTCGTCTGATATACTTGGTAGTCACAAGGCCGGATTTGGCTTATTCGGTGCATATTTTATCACAGTTTATGCAATGTCCAAAAGAGGAACATTGGGAAGCGGCATTGAGAGTAGTAAGATATTTGAAGAAATGTCCGGGTCAAGGCATTCTACTAAGGTCGGATAGTAGTCTTCAGTTGGAAGGTTGGTGTGACTCGGATTGGGAAAGTTGTCCCTTGACTCGTAGATCAGTTTCTACGAGTTCCACAGAGGCAGAGTATAGGTCAATGACGGGGTTGCAATGTGAGTTAAAACACTTGAAACAAATACTTCGATCCTTGGGTGTAGAACATAAGCAAGGTATGAACATGTACTGTGATAGTCAATCGGCACTTCATATTACGAACAATCCGGTGTTTCATGAGAGGACAAAACACATTGAGGTAGATTGTCATTTTATTAGGGATGCCATTAAAGAAGGAGTGATTAAGCCATCGTATGTTTCCACGAAGGTTCAATTGGCGGATATTTTTACAAAAGCCTTAGGAAAGGCGCAATTTGAGTTTTTGCTTGGCAAGATGGGCATTCGAGATCTACATGCTCCATCTTGAGGGGGGATGTTAAGATAATAATTGGGAAATAATGAATAATATCTTTGGGTTTCCTAGTTATGTTAATATTCTATCTTATTCCTAATTATGTTAGGGTTAGGAATATCTTTGTAACTTATATATATTCTTCTTTTGTGAATGAGAAGGTTAAGCCGTTCATATTATTTTGACAATTATGTTGCATTTTTTATACTCATTTGTTTTTTGATTTTTTGATGAAGGTATGGTTGTTTACTACGGAATACTTTAGTTGTTGAAAAGAAGAGGAATGAAAAAAATGATGGCAAGACCTTGGTAAGAGAATCACAGTAGCCGCAAATCACTGCTAAAGTGCTAACTCACTACCACTTTGCAGTACTAGTGGTCACTACTCAGAGAATCACAAGCAAGTAGCTGAGCAAAGCACTGCTACACTTCTACTACTAAGCTTTATCATTTGACATATTAGCCCCTAATCCTAAATCTCACAAAAGGCTAAAACCCTTTGCAATAAAAGGGTATTTTGGTCAATGAAATCTAATCATATCCCTAACCAATCTCTCCCCCCTTTTTTCGGCAAAATTTACATAAAATAATTTTTCAAATTCATCCTTTTTATCTAAAAACGGCCTTAATTAATTACAAATGAACATTAATAAACATGTGATATGATGCATGGTATATAAAATATTATGATTAATGGATATAATTCGTATAAGATATATAGTCAAATGGAAAAAAAGGTCCATGGTGCATTATTATAACAGAAGTCCAAGAAGAATTGATGATCATTATTTTTACCATTTTGGCTAAAGGAGATCATATGAGTGACGAGTCGTTACATAAAAACAAAAACAAATACTGAAAAATTAATTATCGCCAAGAAATTAGCGAGTCCTTAATACCTCTTCTACATGTGGGAGTCCTTTATAGTAATTCCATTTATTGTGGTTCATATTTCCATGGATGAGAAACTAAGTACTTCGTAGTCTATAAGTTGTTACGGAGTCCATTGTAGTCTTGTAGATACCGACAAATCCAAGTACTTGTATTTAAATACTCCCTCCGTCCCTAAATTACATTCTTGTTTGTAAATTTACACCGGAATCAAGGAGGAAAGAATAAGACAAATAACAATAATGAGATATTTCAATGGGAAGTACAAAACATTAAATAATGTAGAAGACTACAATTGACTAATTTAAGTACTCTGTAGTTGAATTGAATCGTGTAAATTTATAATTAGCCAGAATCACAAATAATGATGTGAATCACTCATTAATTTTTTTTTTTCGTGGCATTCATTATATTATGGGTGGCAGGTGTTGCATTGAATTATAAAATTGTACGAAGACAAATTTACAAATTAATTGAGAATTCAATATTCTTAACCTTGAATAACTTAAATTTTAACATCGATGACATAAAATAATATTCGTATGGCACTAATTTAACTTAAATAAATACTTCGTAATTAATTAATATGGATCCTCCCTTCAAATTACCATCTTCCACTCATTCAAAACATTTTATTTTGCATACTTTCTCTATTCTACAAAAATTTACGCAATGAATGTATGAATAAGAAAATATCAAAACAGACAAACCTTTTGATAAGTAGTGCCATCAGGCGCAACAATGGTCGGATTCCAGCGCTGACTTTTTTGTGACCCTCGCGAAAATGGAATATGGTAATTGTTGTAAGAGACTACCAATAGTCGAATTCTGGCGTTGACTATACCACGTGACCCTCACGTGACCTTTTCTAACCCCTTTTCCACCTAATTTTCCCCAATATCCATCCATCAGAAGACTCTTCTCAATTTAGAAGATCAATTTTTGACCAGAAACTAAATAAGCAAACATCATTAATCAAATCAACAACAATAACAACAACAACAACAACAATAAACGTGCCTCAGAAGTAACAAAAGGCAGAATAGCAGCCAGAAATTCCAAAGGCTCTAAAACATAGCTCCAAGCTCCGATTCAAGTGATTCTTGAGCCTAAATTGATTGATTTTTCGAGGTCTACATCTTAAAGGGGAAATTACATACAAAAACTGATTGCATGTTAGAGTAATAGGATAATTATAGTTATGTGAAGAATAATTCAGAATGGGTTCTGCGCTTAATTGTATCTCATAGCTTATGATATGATCATCTCATAGCTTATGATACGATCGGTTTAAATGGGTACAACGAGTGGCAGCGGCAATTGGTTGTGCTAAGGCCTTGGCCTAAGGGCCTGTGGAAAGTGTTGGTTTGTATACACCCAACAATTGACAAAAGGTTTAAACGAAAATAACGAAATAAACCTTAATTGAGAGCAAACACAATGGTTGCCCACAACCATTGTGGTTATTGCTTATTTTAATAATTTCTACATCTTCCACCTCACCTATAACCACTCTTATACCTATTTAATAACCAATGTCTCCCAATAGTTAATCACAACTTTTTGGTTATACATTTTCTCTCTCCTACTTTTACCCAACCCCACTACACAATATCTCTCTTTAATCCTATCATATATATAACTAATGCACTTGGTAATAATCAATTAAAACTAATAATTATTATTAGCATACATTAATTAAATAAAATGACTTATGTTTAAACTTAATGCATTATATTATTTAATTAGTAAGTAATTAGTCTTTAATTAAGAAATACACAATAATTGCAACTTTACTAAATTCGATAATAATAAAAATAATACATATTCTATCAACTGACAACAATCTTTAAAAGATAACAACGAAGCGTGATTGAGTACAAATACTATAATTTAAGGTTACGATTATACACCTTTTTACGCAAATTATTTTGCCTATGGTTAACACCGAATTTGAGCAACATATGTTCAACTAAGTCTTTCTTCAAAGCTCTATGCATAGCTTCATCACGAACACGAGTTCTATTAGAAATATAAGTTTTCAAACTTGCAATTCGATTGTTGCTATTTTCAAACTGAAAAGGCTCTTCAATATTTCTATTACTTGAAGACGCATTTGTAGCTTGATCATATTCATTTGGATCGTAATACGTTTTATACGTATCTCTTTCATCCTCAACGATCATATTGTGCATAATGATACATGCTATCATTATTTTTCCTAACATTGATGAGTCACGAGCTAGCGCAGGATTCTGTATTATTGCAAAACGAGCTTGTAATACTCCAAAAGCACGCTTAACATCCTTTCGTCTAGCTTCTTGTAATTTAGCAAAAAGACATTCTTTTTCATTTTGTGGTAGTGATATTGTAGGAATAAATGCTACCCATTTAGGATATATACCATCAGTGAGATAATACCCCATATTGTATTGATGGTCATTCACAACATAGTTAATAGAAGGTGCACGACCTTCAAAAACATCGTTAATCAAAGGGGATCTATCAAGAACGTTAATATCATTACGACTACCCGGTGTCCGAAAAAAAAAGCATGCCAGATCCAAATATCATATGATGCCACAGCTTCCAAGATTAATGTGGGTTTACCTGGTCTTACAGAAAACATACCTTTTAATCGAAGTGTACAATTTTTCCACCGTTAATGCATGCAATCAATAGAACCTATCATGTCCGGAAATCCTCGATGTTCACCAATTCTTAGTAGTCTAGCAGATCTTCTTCATTGGGCTTTCTAAGGTATTCATCACTAAAGTAAGAGACAATTCCTTCCACAAAATGTTGTAGTGGACCTCTTGCAAGAGATGCACTAATTCGAATGTAGTCATCCACATAATCAGCAGAGGTGCCATAAGCTATTAGTCTCATAGCAACCGTGCATTTTTTGCAATCTGGAGGCACCAAATCTTCCAGTAGCATCTTGTCTTTGCTGAAAGAAAGGATGACGTTCTTCTAAAGTTTGCTTTATTCGGGGAAATATATGTTTGTTCATGCGAAATCTTCGACGAAATAACTGTGGGGGAAACACAGGATGGTCAGCAAAGTAGTCATTCCATAAACGATTGTATCCATCCTAACGATCCCTTGGAACGGGGATCCTTGTTGTTCTTAGAACTTGATTTAACATTTGATATACTTCAATTGGATTGGACATCAAAACTTCATCCATCATTCGATTAACAAGACGATTGGCTTGCCTTCGTCTTTCATATTGTTGTGTTTGGCTATTTTCTGAATTGGATGAAGAATTAGAAGAGTTGGAGCTTTCGTCGAATGACATGTTATTAAAACCAAATTGATATGAGAATGGAAGGTAGAAGTTTTTTAGGGGAAAAGATGGATGGTTAATCAAGTGAAATGTATCTCATCCATTTTATAGAACAAATGTGTTTGGTATGTAGCCATCTTTATTGTCTTATATGATAAATTTGAAGTCTTGAATGCATGCATTGATTCAGAAAAAAAAATTAATAATTTTTTAGTAATGTAGATGCATGCATTTGTATTGTCAATATCGACTTAGCATTGTTATGTACGTAAAAGCAATGTAATGTTACTATTACCTTTTCAATGTCAAGTATATCAGCGTACAATGTTTATCACTATTACCTTTTCAGTGTTAAGTACATCAATGTCTAGTATCTAATATTTGCTTTTCAGTGTTGAGTACATCAATTCGTTTTCTATGTAATGTAAATCAATGTACATCTTTTGCAGTGAAATATCAATGTACATCTTTTGCAGTGAAATATCAATGTACATCTTTTGCTGTGAAAAATCGAACCTTAGTACATAAAATAGAAAACTAAAATATAAAACAAATTATTTGAAATTAAGAAACATGTAAACTATGATTAACCATAAACTTAGTACATCAGTCTGAGGGGAATAACTTCTTCAATAAATTGTTCCTTAGTTCTTGATCTTCCGAAGATAGGTTTGGCTTTGAATCGAGGTGCTTAAATAACTCCATATTAATCTTTCTTTATTTCCTTGCTTCTTTCTCCCTTTCTAGTTGCAACCTTGTAAGTTCCACTTGATTTTCTGATTGCCTTATAAGTTTTATGTCCTGGGTCGTGTCCTACCATTGTTGCCATGCTCCAACTGGCATATTTTCCATCTTGCTCTTTCCTTTATTTTTGCTAGATTCGTTGTTGGTAGGCAAGGCTGAATACCAAATATCAGTGATATTATATCACCACTGTTTGGTGTTTCGGGGTTTGATGAAGATGAGTAGTTGCCAGCTTCATTGATACGTGATCTCTTTGAGTCACTTCCTTGAGTAGATGTTTTTTGCTTGCATTTTTGAACAATATCTTCACTTGGTTTCCACGCATCATGTTGTATCAAAATGTCCCAAACATGCTTGTCTTGAAAGGTTTTAGACATCAATGATGTCTTTGTTTTGTCAGCAGCATATATACTATATGCTGCCTTCATAACATCTTCATCATTGTGACCACTTCCCCTTCTTGATTCAACATGAGCATGTGAACCACAAAATTTAGAACATGAAGCATTGATCCTTCTCCAACGGTTTCTAAGTTGCTCCGAACCCCTCATTTTCAACAAATCTTCTCGTGTTACCCCGTCAGTACCTTCTTCGAAACACCTTTGTTTGTATAGTCTAAAATTATTATACATTTCCTCAATTTTCCTCCAAAAAACATCCCCCTTTTGGTTAGTGTTAATTTTTTTTATTTTGACTAAACTCAAGCCAAGACTTCACAAGAACCACTTCTTCAGCTTTTGACCAAAACTTTGTTTTCCCATCTTGATTGCCTCCTTCATTCATGACCTCTTTCATTGACTTTGACTTCTTCAACTTCTGATTCATCGTCGTCATCTGATCCATTCGAAGTGTATGAGCAATTGAAACTCGGAAGTGCACTATCATCACCTTGTGACATAGGAAATTGAGACATAGGAAATGTTGGATCACCTTGAGAGATTTGAATATTCTCAAAAGATGGTTAACATTTTGAGAATATGAATAATTAGGATTTTGTAGTGGTTGAAAAGGGAAAGAAGTAAAAGTACTTGGATTTGAGAAATTGAGATTTTGTGAACCATAATTCGAAAATTGTTGAAAATTTGTATCTAAATCTGAGTTGAGATCAATTTGAATGTCAGAATAGTAAGGTTGAAGATTTGGATTATTCTGTTGTTGTGATGAATTCTGAGATTTTGTGGGGTTTTTTTTTCTATTAGATTTTGAAATATTCATCTCTACACAATTTGATAATAAAGAGAGTAATATTCACTAAAAAAATTGTTTCTAAATACCTCAATATTGGCTTCATTTTATAGAGAAAAATAAAATAGAGCCGTTGGTGTTTTTTTTAGAGTTGTATTTTAAATATTATGGCCGTTACAAAATTACAACGGTAATACAATCAGAGCAAATCTCAGCCATTGATTAAATAAATAGGTGCCACAATCCTCTTTAGCCACGTCATCCTAGGTTGTCATAAACACCCACCCAGGCCACTTGCAATATTTTATTGCATAACCTATCCCAAATAAACGGTTAAAGAAATAACCTGGTTATTGAAATACTCCCCCTACTTTTTCTCTCGCTTCATTTTTTATTATATTTTCAGTTTCTCTCTCCCCATAACCAACCCAATTGGGCAACGGCTGGGCTTACTCTAACCGGTTAAAGAAATAACTTGGTTATTGAAATATTATTCCCCCTACTTTTTCTCTCTCTTCATTTTTTTATTATATTTTCAGTTTCTCTCTTCCCATAACCAGCCCAATTGGGCAACGGCTGGGCATACTCTGAAGAAAGCCTTACACAATTGACAGGAAGAAGAAGGGAATTTGCTGCAATCAGGGGAAGGACGATGAAAATGAAAGGATAATGGGAGATTTAGAACGTAATTAGCAGTTAGCTGATTGGTTAAAGATGGTTGTATTAGCGGATTCGATTAGCTAGTTGCATTAGTTGTTTTGACTAGCTAATTTATAAGAGCTTTTTATGTAGAGTTGTTTGGTAAAATTAGCTTATTATTTGTAGTTGTTTGTTAGCTGAACATATGAAATGACAATTTAGGAAATTGATAATTTTTTTTGTTGGAGTTTAGATAGAGAACTCCAAATAAATTGTGCTTCAAAAGAATTAATTTTCCATTTGTCAAATATTGCATTGTATAAATTGGTTCTTAAAATAAGTTGATTCCTTGAAATATGCTCAATTAGTCAATTGTTTTGGACTTAATTGGGGGATTTAGATGTTAACCATTTTTTGGTCTAAATTGGTGACCAAATTCGTTGTACCTTATTCACTCTCATTCGTGACCAGATTCGTTGTATCCAGTTCATACTCATATACTATATAAACATCTCCTTTTGTCCCTTTTCGAACAGAGAAAAAAGTGAGAATTGATCCTCTCTTACAATTATTCTTCATGACCTCCTTTTCTATTGAGCATTGCTCGAAGGTGTTTTCAATCTAACTCTCCATAGTACACCGAAGAGTTGGAGTCATGTAACCCTGAAGGTCGATTACTATGAGTCCGTGCGTACCTGTGCGGGGCAAATTCGACTTTAGGGCAGTGATCTAATGTCACGCCACGACATTTTCAAGATAAGTCACTTAATTATCTTAATTGCTATTAGTCATGTTTCCTACAATCTAAAGTCGAATTTATGTTTTTCCATTATGGCTAATATTTGTCTTTTGTTGAAACTATGGATTTTAGAATTCATTGCTGTGTTTTTTGACCAATGTGAGGAGAATAAATGTTGCAAATAATTCCAAATTATTTATTCTATATTGATGAAATGCATATACCTGTCCTGAACAATGACATGCCTCATATTATTATCTTAATTGATTAAATTGACTACGTGTAACACCCTAGAAATTCTTTTCCTTTAAATACCCATTTTACTCTTTAAAATACGATTTAGGAATATCTAAGACATTACCACCACCGTGAAAATGGCTAAGGAAATTATTAAAGATACACGACGGAAGACTTAAAATTAAAAACCGTTTAAACAACTCAACTCAATAGTCAACCAAACGAAAGTAAAGTTTGAAACCAAAACAAACGAAGTCAAATAAGATCAAACTACAACTTGGAACCATTAAAGGCCCTTATTCAAAACCTTCCAAAACCAAACCTTTGCGTTAGTCCACACAAAACATATCATAAATAAATAAAGCATAAAATACATCGTAAACTAATGGAAACTAACATGATTCACTCTTCACTCATGCCCCGTCATGAATATGCTTCAATACCTGAAAAGTTTATCTCTACTTGTCCCCACTACTCTCCATTAAAAATGGGTCATCATAGGGCCAAGATAAAGATATGGCCAAACACACAAACACACACAATCAGCAAAGCTGAGTACATAAGCGTAATTAAACACACTAACATGCTTTCACCTATCAACACACACTTACCTCAATGCACCTGTTTACAAGCACAAACAACAATCAACAAGACACTTTAACTAGACACTAAATAATTCATTTAGCGATGATTACGCATCGAATGGGTTTCCAACTATTCCTCCCCTAAATAAATTGAGGTTAACTGACACGGGAGCTAACCGTGCCAGCGACAAAACCACTCAAAGGTGGCGGAATTCCTGCGCATAATAATAAATAAAAAGGAATGTACAATGTCCTGTACTCCATTAGAAGTTATGGTTAAATATAAAACCCCATAACTCCCCCCATTGTTCATACTCAAGGTATATACGCTCCAAGAGTTTTGGTGCGTAATCTCTTTCACTTTACGTTATTTACATATTATTGGACTTGGTGACGACTCTCAAAGCATAATAAATCAATTAACAATAATTATTCAATGAACCAAACATACCAACTTAATTCTTGAATAATTAGTGACCACTTATTATTTAATGTTGAACCCTTTTTAATTCTACCTCAGTGT